AACCTTTTATTTTTTATTTTTTTTATATAAACTTAGTAATATCTTGTTTCTCATGTAAGTACAAAGGACATGGGTCATTCAATGGCTTACATCTTCTAGCTTTTCATATTAAATTCATTTTACTGTAGGTGGTTTATTGGATTCCTTTAAGTGCTTGTAGTACTTATAGGGAGATCTATATGTTAGAATACGATTTATTTAATTACAATTTTAAAAGATGTTAAGGTTAGAATTTCTTTTTATTTAACTACAATTTTAAATACAACTTTAAAATATTTTCACTGTTAGTTTTAATAGACTATATTTCTTTTTTAAAAGAAGTAAATGTATTAGAATTACTTACAGTAAGTATAATTATTTTTACATATCAAGTATAAGTATGTATATTACGATTGTTAAATATTATTTAAGTAAAATTTATGACAATTATGGTAAAAATAGCTAATTCATTTCTCTGATTTAGTGAATTTTATTTTTTATTTATTTATTTATTTTTTATACTTAGTAATATATAGTTTCACATGTCTGTACAAAGGACATGGGACATTCAAAGGCCTCCATCTTATAGCTTTGTATCATAATTTCATTTTTCTGTAGGTGTTTTATTGGATTCTTTTAAGTGCCGGTAGTACTTTGAGAGAGGTGTTTAGGTTAGAATACGTTTTATTTAACTACAATTTTAAAAGATGTTTAGGTTAGAATTCGTTTTAACTAAAATTTTAAATACAACTTTAAAATATTTTCACTGTTATTTTAATAGATTTTTTTTTGTAGATGTAATAGAATTACTTACAGTATATAAAATTATTTTTTCCATTAAATATAAGTACGTATATTACCAGGTCGCACTTTTTAAATTTATTTTTATTTTCAAATATTATTTAAGGAAAATTTTTGACAATGACGGCATAAAATGGCTATTTCATTTCTCTGATTCAGTAAATTTTTGTTTTTTATAAACTTAGTAATATATAGTTTCTCATGTATGCACAAAGGACGTGGGTCATTTAATGACCTACATATTCTAGCTTTTCTTATTAATTTCCATTTTACTGTAGGTGTTTTATTTGATTCTTTTAGGTGCCAGAAGTATTTTGAGAGGGATGTTTTGATTTTTCTATTTATTTAGCCTAAATGAACTTTGATGTTGGTTGAATCTTTTTTTGAACCCATGGCTTGTGCAACCTATATATATTTTTATGTTTTCAAGATTTTCAATTGAAGAGATATTGCATTGGTATACTAATAATTCAGTGCGACATTTATTTTGTAGAGGGCAATTTTGAGGGTTTCTACAGTTACATAATTTTTGTTTATTTTCATCAGTTTTTATTTTTCTATTGTCTAAATTTTTTTGGTTTTGGTATAAGTGTTTATTTAAGATATTAGCATTATGTTTCTTAATAATTTTTTCTAAGTTTTCCGTACAGCTGTAACTCAATTTTAGTGTATTTTTATTGAAAATAGTACTTAGTTTACTTCCACTAGGAAAATGCTTGACTATTAATGCAAGGAATTTTTGTCCTAATTTGTTTTTTACCATTTGGTTGTATGGGGGTGTATACCAAATTATTTTTCTACATCTGTTTTTCCTATGGTTTCCATTTTAATTTTTTATATAAGTTAGTTTTGGGTTTTTGTGGCCACTCTCTTTTAGAGCTATGTTATAGGAATTGATATGCTCATCGAAAATCTTGTCATTTGCTGAATTTGTACTAATTCTTTTACTGATAGATACCGGTATATGTTTAATTATAGATGGTGGGGGTGATTTGATTTAGGGTGTATATTTAAAGGATTGGTGTTGGGTTTTTTATAAGGTGTGTATGTATTTTCATTTAATTCTAATGTTATATCTAGGAAGTTCACTTTTTTAATTTAGTACTAACTGTAAATTTTAAGCCCATGCTTTTAAATTGTTTATATAATACCTTTCTAATTCTATCTATTTTTAAGTTAGTTGAGTTTCTAATAACCATAAGTCCATCGTCTCTGTACAAAACCAATGTCAGTTATATTGATATCAGGGTGCGCTGTAAGGTTGTATAAAATAAAAAGACCAATGAGATCAGAAGATTCAGCAGAATCTAGTGATCCCATTGTGATATCAAAGTGGTCATAAGAATTCTCCAAAATTCGCTTGAGGATGAAATGGAACTAATGCCTTTAATTTAATTACAAAATTAAATTTGGACCTTCCATTTTTGAAACATGGTTAGAACTGTGTAGCGGAAAAAACATATTTTAAATCAATTAATTAATAATATTAATGCTCTGTAAATTTACATTGAGCACTATTTTGTAAAAATAAAAATATCTATAAGAACACCGGATTATATATCTTACTGTTCTTTCTTTTTATATATATATATATATATATACAGTTGAACTATCAAGAGAAAGGGTTTTTTAAATCAGCAGCTCCTACTGCTATTAATGCATTTCTCTTCAAGTACAAATTGAGTTCTCTGTGCTATTGGCATATTTCATATAGAAAAATGTTAAAATTTCCCTTTCTCTCTGCCATACAACAATAGCCTTGAGGTAGGATCTCTGACTGTAGTCAAAATGGTTGGGTTTCAATCCCATATTGAAGCAATTGGATGCCTAGCCACACAGAAGAGCTGCGATACAGTGAAACAGTCTCTCAGTGGATGACAATATATATATATATATATATATATATATATATATATATATATATATGAAAGTCAACACCTCTTGACCCAGTTTGTTGTTTTTGTTCTAGTAATTAATGTAATGATGGTATATATGTTGTCAAACAACTCCAAGAAATTGCTTATTACTCTCAAAGGAGATTGTATACTTTCTTTTTCAACCTCACACCAGCAAATGGTTATATCAAGAGGGACTTCTTCTCATCCATTAGAAACTGCCTTCAAAGCTTCAAATCCACTGAATGCATCGATATAATAGAGAAGCTGTATTAATTTGCAAGATCTTACATGTCGGGAAAAGATCCCAATATGGAAACATTTCAGACCTCATCTATGAAGTATGACAAGGAGGAATTGAGAGAACCTGTTTATTTAATCTCTTCTTAAACTCTGCTCTGCACATTGACAACCACAGATGTGATGAGATGAGTTCTGACCATTTAAGTATTCCATATCACATACCTAATGAGTCTACCAAAAGAAAATAACAATCCTGCATTCCCTGATGAGGCTATGCTAATGACATACATAGTCTTATAATATTGATCTCTATGCTATGATATTCTACAAACTGGGAGAACTTTTCTTTTAATCAGATATATAAAGAACTAATAATAAAAAATAAATATTATTTTTATTATTATTATTATTAATCATGTTTTTTTATATATCTATCTATCTATCTATCTATCTATCTATCTATCTATCTATTGATATATATATATATATATATATATATATATGTATATAATTATTAATTTAAAAGTATGATTCGCTACATAAGAGTTCTCATGTTTCAATTTCAAAACAACAGCCGAAAACTTCAATATAATTATTTGAATTAAAGTATCAAGCTCTGTTCCATAAACGAGTTCTTTCCTATTTTCTATATATTTTCACACACACACACACACACACACACACACACACACATATATATATATATATATATATATATATATATATATATATATATATATATATAGGAGAAAATGATATATAAATTGTTATATACAAGAACAATGTTATGAAAATAAATGGCAAATTGGAAAACATATTTTTGAGTGATGCATTTTGCCCTTTAGGACTACATTTAATGTTTCTGTTGATGTCACTACATATGCACATGAAGGGGGAGGGGGGAATATAAAAATGCAAATGTTGATTATAATCATGCATCAATAGTGAATGCTGAAAATATTGCAATGCTAAAATTTTAAACTTTTAGATTTAAATTTTTATTTTATTTTTTTCCTGAATATTATTTTCAATATAATTTAAAAAATGGGCTTTAATTTTCTCAACAATATTATATTGAAAAATGACAAAGTTGTTAAAGTTTCCAGTCATCTTTGATTAATATAAATTCATGGCATGATTATTCATTTGTCCAGTATGTGATATTCTATAATTTAACTTTACATTCAGTCATAAAAGAACAATTCTGAATTTGATTCACTGAATTCTTTGAAGAATTCTTTGATTTGTCTGTATTTCTGAGTTGATGTATTGTAACTATTTAAATTATTTACATTGTTCAAACTATTGTCCTCATCTTTATTGCCATATTCATGGCCAGTGGATTCTCATGTTCATGGCCCAGTGGATATAAGTGTTTGTAAATCTAGTGTCTTGACCTAAAAGAGTTGTGAGTTGGAGAGTTGAGTGACTAAAGGGAAATAACTGAGATATACAGAAAAGGAACTAGAACAATGTACCCCAGTTGATGAAATAAAGGGTTCAGTTTGAAATTCCACCATATAAAGAAATAAAGATGACAATAAAGATGAGGACAATAGTCCAAACAATGTAAATAGTGTAAATAATTGTATTATTGCTGAAATCTCTTGAAATTGCTAGGCATCTAAGTTGTTAAAAAATATCTAAACTTTCATTTTTATGCAACTATTTCATTTTATTTATTTTTTCACATCACTGATTGAAAATGGATTCAAACAAATAAATCCCTAAGGTCTTAAAAAAGACAATCCTTCATCAGACCCTACAGACTGGTGTTACAAAATCACAAAGAGATTTACCAAATAACAAAATCTATCATCAGTTGAATTCTTTCAACAGCAATAAGAACAAAAATTGGTAACAAATGTAATTAAAAGGGAAAATAATGATCTAATCAAAATGTTGACTTTCCACACTAGTCTAAACAAATGGTTTGCAAGGAAACTGCTTTCTTTATAAGAAACAGTGATAACATTTAATTGACATATAAAGTCTAATTGATTGGTAACTCAACTTCACAAATTTAAACGTAATACTAGACTGGCATTTTGCTGTTGTAACCACAAATTCTATTTTAATATGCTTGTGGCCATATCAGGTTGAAACACTGGTTACCATTATGATCTCCAAAGTTAAACAATGTTGAGTGTGGTCAGTACATAGATGGGTGACTGATTGGGAATACTAAGTAGTGTCAGCCTGGATGTGCAGGTGGTGTAATGGATAATGGCTCAGAACTGGTAATTGGAGAGCTGAATTCCAATTCCAGTTGGGTTCATTATATTCACTTATACAGAAATATGCTTGAGAAATGTATCAATCCACCTCTTCTCCTCCAGATATGGGTTAATTAGTATGACTTGTATTGCTGAATCATTATCTTCACCCCATCATTCTTAAAATATAAAAATATTTTCTGGCTTTAAATAACTTGAAAAGTGTTGATAAGCCATAGAAAATGAATGAATCACTCAATCTATTTTAATAGTTTCTTCTTTGACATTTCTTGTTTGCAGAACTCTTTTCTGACTTTATGCTTTCCTGTTAACTATGATGTCCTAAAATTTAAATGCAACATCACTTGTCATCTTCGGTCTCTTTGTATACTGTTCTTTTGTTATCTTCTCTTTCTTTCACTCACAGTAACTTATTGTACCCTAATGGCTTTTATTGCCTTGCTTAGTGGGAAATGATTATTGAAAAAAAAAAAAAAAACTATTTTCACAGTTCAGTCAATAAATGCTGAATGTATCCTGTATGGAAACAGCTAATCTTATCATTACCTTTCTCAAAGAGTAGAACAGAGTGATTTTTGTAAATATGGGCATCCATACATGACATACTCCTTGGTCACACAATCTTTCTACTCTGTATTCAGTCAGTCATGTGCCATGTGTGATACACGCTTAGGTGATTATGGATCTTTCGATACATGACTGACAAGGCAGATTTTTCCCGCAGTAGGTTGCCATTTTTTTCTGCAGTAGACCAGTTGCCATCCAAGGCTACAGAACCTGGTCTGTTCGGCTATTTAGCTATAGCTGGGGGGGAGAAGAAGAGGATTTACACCTTTCTCAAGGATATTAGCACGTAAGTGAATGTAATGGATCTGACTGGAATTCGAACTCGGCTCCCTGAGCCAGTATCCGTTACCCTACCGTGCCTCCTTTTATCCTCTTACCATTACCATTCTCAAAGAGTAGAACAAAGGTCGTCTGAAGATCCAGTTCTGGAGAAGAGATCCTCATCCTCTGGAAGAACTTTTTATTCCAACTTCATTATTTCTTATGTTACATTTGCAATATGAGGACAGATGTTTTCATGCAGAACAATCAATAATGATGATCTTTACACAGAAGAAAATGTTTTCATCTCTAAATTTTTTGCAAATTAACATGTTGTTTGCATTGCAACTTTCTTCAAAAGTTACCTGAATTTATCAGATTTCAAGTTCTGAGGTTTTTTCCACAGAATTCTTTGTCCTTGGTTACAACATCTATTTTGAAAACCAAAATAAAAAATAAAAAACTATTTTAAACTTTGTAAACTATTCCCAAAACATGCTTGCACCTACTGAATCATTGGATTCAGTAATTAATTAAGCTTCACAATCCATTCTTAAAGTGCCTACATGCAAAATCAATACAAGAGTTAGGTGAAATTTATTCACACTTCTAACATTTTATTAAAATTCTGCCAATTTTCCACTTTAAACTTTTGCTTCAACCTGAAAATATTGGTAAAAAAACATACAAAAATAATTATTTTAAAGTTAATTTATTCTTCTCTATAAATTGAATAGAACATCAGCTTCACTTTCTCTCTCATGCTGTCTGTCTCTCTCCCTCTCTCTCTCTCTCTCTATATATATATATATATATATATATATATATATATATATTGGGTGTAACAGCAAAATTGTCCAAATCGTGTAACAACATGGGATAATTGTTCATCCCCCCAAATTTTTAATATATAAGAAACCACTAAACTAAAATTTTTCTGGTTTTTCAAATAATACATTTAGCCATCTTGACTTTTTGTTGTAAGAATCACTGAAAAATCCTTTAAGTTATTCAGATAGAAAGAGAACAGGTTAAAATAACTTTGTGTCAGGTCCACAATGTCTTCCCAACTGAGCAATGGCGAGAGGAAAATGATCATTCAGGCCTTCAGTAATAGTACCAACATTCATACTCTGGCTTCCATCTTCAAAGTTCATTCAAGAACCATCAAGAGAACAGCAAATAAGTTTAAAAAAGAGGGAACAGTAGAGAGGAAAACTGGATCAGGAGGTCAAAGGGATCATCATTTCAACTTAGAGCTAAATACATTCTTATTGTTCAAATTAGATTCCAATGGTGTTATAAAAAACTTTGAGAATTCCAGTAAGATATCTTTAATCATTTCTAAGATACAACTGTTCAAAGCTTAATCTAACAATTGGATAATTTTTCTGTTACATCGAATATATATATATATATATATATATATAGGTACCTCCAAAGAAAAGTGATAACTAAGGTTTAAAATGCATTTTTTACAAATGGAAAATCTTTCTTGAAGTTTTTATTTTAGTTTTAATTTTAAGCTAATAGATTAAACTTAATATTTCCAGTAAGCAAAATACTTTGCTGTATTTCAAACTGAAATTGATTGGAATGAGTTTTTTTGTTATTATAGTAGAAACACTAAAAT